GTTTCAGAGCAAGAGTTTCCTTATCAGTCAAGAGAACTTAATAACCTCTGAACTGGTCTCGCAGGATCCGCGAGGGCGTATGAGTGTGCTAGTCCATTCATGCTGCTATAACAAAATACCGTAAACCGGGTGGCTTATAAACAGCAGAAATGTATTTCTCTCAGTTCTGGAGCCTAAGAAGTCCAGGGTCAAGGTGCAGGCGAGTTTGGTGTCCAGTGAGGGCCCACTGCCTCACAGACACCTCGTCTTGCTGAGTCTCACAGGAGGAACCGGCGAACCAGCTTCCTTTGGCTGCCATTGTCACTCATGAAGCCCCCACTGTCTAAGGTCATGCCCTTGGGGGTCAGGATTGCAACGTATGAGTCTGGTGGCTGGAGCCCATCACAACGGGTGAGAGGCCCCTGTGAATGCTCAGGTGCTGGTCAAGGTCAAGGGGTGGGGCCTACTCCCTAATTCCCTTCATCGTGTCCTTCCTTCCTCTCTGCACTGAGCACCTACTATGTGCTGGCTGCCAAGATGCCATCCCAGGCCGTGGTCTAGTTGTCAGCCGGCACGGGTCTGAGTCATCGCCTCCTGACAGATGATCCGCAGTTTGCAGGCCCTCAGCTCTCCCTCAGCTACAGCTTCAGTGACATCTTAAGAAAGCCCCCGTGGGCCCTTGGAAAATAGAGGAAGCACCCTATTTTTATCGGCCACACACAGAAATCCTCCCCGGGGAGGGGAGGGGTTTTCCTGGAAAGATGTTGGATCTCAGTCATCTCCTGTCGCTGCTGCTCGTCAGAGCCGAGGTTTTCTTTTTTTTTTTTTGCTGATCTTGTCCTCAAGTTATTTGACAAGCTCACACAGGGACGCTCCCTGGGCTCAGCCCTGGGGACACAGCTGGAACTCTGAGGTGTCCCAAGGAGCAGGGACGTGTGCAGAACACACCTTGGTGCCCAGGTGCCCCAGCAGAGGCACAGAGGGACCCAGGGCAGAGCTCAGTTGTGCCAGGGGGCGGGGTCTGGAGCGCCCAGGGAGAGGGGCCGGAGACTGTGGAGTCTCTGCCCCTGAGACCGCCTGGTGTCCCTGGAATGAGGGCAAGGGGCGGGCAGTGCTGGGACGAGGTCAGAATACTGCCTGGGCTTTCCTCAGCAGGTGGTGGGACCCGGGAGGCCTTGAGCAGTGGTCTGTGGGCAAGTGTGGGCTGTGCGACACATCCGACTTCGTTTGCTAACGCACACTCTTGCTCTCCTCGTGCTAGGCTGTGGAGTGACTTGCCCAGGGTCACAGGTGTACCAGCAGCCAGCTGGGATCGGAGCCAGCTCCGGGCCCTAACCACTGGACGGCACTGCCTCCAGGACCAGGACTGTTCTGGGTGCTGCTGTGTGTTGTGCTTCCCCCACTTCATCCCCTATCAGAAGGCAGCTGGCCTGCTCCTGGGCTGGTGAGGGAGTAGATCACACAGGGACCCAGGTTCCCCACCTCCCCACCTGGGCTCTTTCTGAGCCTCAGTTTCCTTCCCTGCAGTGGAGGCCACCGTTGGACTGTGGGGGGACTGCCCAAGGCCAGGCGTGCGGAACGCCTGCCAGATAGTGAGTGCTCAGGAAACCTCCTAAACCCGCCAGAACCGAGCTGCAAGGGATAGAAACCTGGGCTCCAAGAGACCCTGGCTCCCATATCTGGGCCGAGCTGGGTGGGGGTGGGGCTGCTGGCCAAGTGGCCAGGCCTCTCCTGGGCTCCTCCTCAGACTTCTGCTGTGCTGGGACACGGCTCAGGCTCTCACTGAGACAAGGCAGCCCTCGGAGCCCCCCAGCTCCCGCGGGAGGCGTGGTCAGGTAGGGCGCCTCTTCCTGAGGCCTCCCCTCCAGGGCTGGGCTGCTCTCAGGGCCCACCTGGGGCCACCTGCCCATCCTGGGCCCGTCCTGGTGGCGGGACCAGAGGGATGTCATCTGCTGGTCACTGGGCCTCCTGGGAGCCAGGGCTGGGGGCTGGGGGAGGGTGCCCTAGAACTGATGTCACCGTCCTGGACCCCAGCAGGGCTACACCCTCCCTGACAGCCACTCTTCCCCCGGGTGATTTCAGGACAGAAGTGCTCACTTTAAGGCAAAATTACTTACCTAATTAGGCGCCAGGGAGCTGGCAGGAGGTGGTGGGGGTTTTGTTGATTTTTTTTTTCCTTGGCTTTTTGGCCCTGAGGTTGGTGATAAAGTAACTGTGTAATTAGGGATTAATTTCTCACTCCCGAAACTGATTCTTCTCAGGGCCTGAGGGGAGTCAGCCTGCTGGTTACTCACCCTGGTGGCCCTTCCTCCCCTGGTCTCTTTGGAGTAGGGGTGGGACCCAGCGCCCAAGGTGCTCCTACTGTCCTCAGGACACTGTGGGGGGAGAGGAGTGCTTCCCCCCCACCTCATGGCCTTTGCAAAACATGGGAGGTGATTCCCTGAGGGCCTACTGGGTGCCCGGCACCAGGTGGTCCTGGGGTGGACAGGTCTGCAGGTGGCAGACATGCAGGGAGCCCAGGGGCAGCTGTCCCATGTCCCCTCACCCCATGCCCCAGAATGGTGCCCACCTCCTGCCTCAGTCTTGAGGACTTTCTCCAGCTCTATTGGAGCTGTCCCCTGTCCCGTCCCTCCAGCCAGTGGATGTGGCCCTAGCCTCTGCCTCCAAGGCTCCTGGACTGGATGGTGCTGGGATGCTCACACCCTGGTGACCTGCTCATGGTTGTTCCCCCTCCCCCATGGAGGAGGCGGCCCTGGAGAGGTTGGGGACCAGGGGAAAGGCCCTGTCCCTTGGATGGGGC